CTGGCCTCCAGAGGCACAGACTTTCTGAACTGAGTGCTTGAGCGTCCCTCACAATAGGAATGCAGATAATGACCTTCATTAATGAAGGAACAAACATCTGTCCCCTTTCGTGAGCAACAGTACCAGCCCTGACGGTTATAGTCGGGTGGGAAGATTCGCCTATCTTCTGTGTTCTTTGTGGGTGCGATTTGCATACTTGTGCTTATCACATCTTTAATCCACTCTGCTTTTCAAGGATTTATCACATCGCGGGGCTCGAATGCCCTCTCTAGGGGAGGAACTATAGGTTATGAGAGAAATGGGCCCAGCAGGGGTGTTTGTACTGTAGAGCCCCTCTCCCAGAAACTGAGTTCCCCAGGCCTGCCCACCTCCCCAGGGTACTCATTCTGAGCACCCGGCCAACAGCCAATTTAAGGTCTGGCTCAGGGATTTGAGCTGCTCCCTGCCTGGCACTGAATGAACGCTACCACCTCTACCTCACTGGAGACCTCATTAGGACTTGAACTCTGGTCTTTGTTCCTTCCCAGCGGGTTCTTTTCAGAGGGAAAGGTGGAAAGAGGAGGGGTCAGGTAAGCCCACAGCTCCCAGAGCAGCAGGAGTCCAACAGCCTCTGAGATCCGGAAAGTGAGTAAACAAGCAATTACTGGAGAGAGAGCCTAAAGCTGCAACCAGAGAAGCAGCTTAACTAATTCGATTCTACTCCCTGCAGGAGAGGCCGGAGCCTTCCTCAAGCCCTCCTCCTCCCCAGCTTCTTGTGGCTAATTCCACCAGCCTCCTCCTGCCTTTCAAGTGAAATTCCATCCCTAGCACAAGCAGGGTCCCAGGAGTAAGAGGAAGACCATTACCAAGACCAAATTCTTGGCTAGGCTGCTGTCACCGCTGTTCTTTGTTATAAGGAGAATGAATACAGTGTGCTCTTACGCTCCCCTTGCCATAGCCCATGTCCTTTGGCTCTCTCTGCTAGAGAGGAGCTAAGAAAGAAGGGGGTGACTCAGAACTTGCTTCTCAGAACCTAGAGTGGGAAACCAGCTGGGCTGCAGGAAGTGTGGGGTCGAAGTGAAAGAACCCCCACAATCCTTTTAGCTCCGAGCAGCCTCCGGCCTACTGCTAGTTAGACGAGTCCCCCAATTGGTTCTCTTCCTCTGCTTCTTCGGACATCAGTGCAGATCTTGTCGCAGAAAGGCCTGTACCTAGATAAGACTGAGTTCTTGCCATTACTGCCTTCAAAGACGTGGTGATTTAGTGGCATTCCAGGAGAGGTAAGAAATGTCTAGACATTTAAACACGTCCACGAAAATGACAATACAAGACAAAATATAGTAGATTCCACTGCTCGTTTTGGTCCCAATAATTTCTCACCTGGATTATTTTCTTTAAAAAAAAAAAACTGTCTCAAGGCCATCAACATGACTCCAAGCCTGAGGAGTATGGTTGGTCTCCCAAACTCACATGGTGGAAGAGAAGAATGGACTCCCACTGACCTCCCCATCCGCATTGTGGCAGACCCACATCTACACGTAAAATTAAAATGTAACAAAATTTTTAAGTAATTAGTCTAACTACTTAGCCCAGGCTGGTGCCAAACCTGATCCTCCTGCCTCTGCTTCCTGTGCTAGGATTCCATTATAAACCACCAGCTTCCTCCCTGGATTACTGACCAGACTCTAGCTGTCCCTTCCTTTCTGCCATAACCATTGCTCCCCTCTCTCTCCGTTAGGGTCTGCAAGAAGTTCCCAAAAGACCACCAGTCATGATGCAATCAACAAGAGCGTTTATGATACCACATACATGGGGGGTTGCTCACCTGTACAAAATGAGGATGACCCTGAGACACACAGACAGACACAGATAGACAGACACATACACACACACACACACACACACACACACACACACACACACACACAAGCTCCTTTTTAGCACAGCTAAGGGGAGTTCCTAGGGCAGTTAGGGCATTTTATCTACTATTGGTTTAAATGAGTGGCAATTATGTTAGCACATTCCTAATTGGTTAGGACTAGTGGGGGGCAGGGGCTTAAGGCTATAGCTTTTCCATTCTAGGGCAAGTCTGGACAAGTCCCAGGCTTTGTCCTTATTTGGTTATTACCTGTGTTTGGGGAATGGTTTGGCCCAGGCCTAGTATATGCAGGAACTGAGGCCTAGTTCTTGACTGAGTTATTAGGGGGCTATCATGATATTTGCCTAGCCCCCTCATCTGCCTGTCCTAACTCCTGGTTTCACATAGTGTTAGACCCAGATATATATCCAACTGGGTCCCACTCTTTCTTCAAAGTCTTCTTTGACTCCCAGGGCCACTTCTGTTTTTAGGCAAGCATTCCATTATCTTTTAAGACGAAACCATACTCCCCATCTGGCACACCTAGCCTTCTGTAGTCTGATCTTTCTTAATCTGTGAATCTATGTTCCACTCCCCATTTATACCCTGATCAGAATGAAGCATTTAAGGTACACTGCTACCACTCTCCTCGCCTCAGGACCTTCGCACGTGCAAATCTCATCAGTCTGAAATTATTTTCCCTGTACTCCCAACTTAGCTGATGCCATCTGGAAATCAGTAGTAAAATAACCCCCCCTCCCTTATTTACTCTCTCTAGGTAGAGCATTCCTCATCAACATTCCTACATCATTGTAGTATTCAACCTGAATCGTAATCATCAATTTTTCTATCCTTTCCCCTGTCCAGACATCAAGTTCCTTTTTCATCTTTGTATCCCGCTCCTGCATAGACCAGGCAGTAAGTGATGGTTGAATGAAAGGCTGACCAACAGACAGAAGGGTTCATAGAGGATATGGGATGTCAGAGACTGATAATATCACCAAATGACTTTGCAGGATGACTAACCTCTTAGTTATTATTAGAGCTTGGGGAGCGGAGTGTTGGGGCAGAAGGGAAAACAGGCTGACTTGGGTGTTTAAAGTCAAGGGTGGTGACGGCAGAAACTGGGAAGCGGGCATTTGGGAATGAGCTCCAGTGTGGAGGCGATGCTGTAAGTTTAACAAGGGGTCAGGTGTGTTTGCCAGCGGGATGGGAGGGGAGAGGCGAACTTCGTTGTAATCTTGGTACTGAGAAGGGATGTAAGTAGGTGAACCTGACAAAATTCAGGAGAAGGCCCTGGATGCAGACAGTAGAAACTGGGAGAGGAGACGATCTATTTGTTTTTAGAAATAGCTTCAGCTAATGACAACAGAAAGCACACAGACTGGAGTAATTTCGAGCTCCAGGTTTCATTTTGACTCTGGGTGGGCTAAGCATGTACAGACCGACCAGTCAAGACCTCACCTCAGCTTTTTAAAACGCTCGGACAGAAGTCTAGTAACGATGATGGCTTGTAAATCACTGTCATAATCTTAACAGGAAATGATCCCACCAACAAGAGGACCTATTCCTTCTTTTACATGTTTGCCCTACGCTCTGGGGGACTTGGTTATTTCTCCACCTGAGCGGGACTTTTCTCCCACACAATCTGCAGTTCAGCCCCGTTACCTTTTCCTGCTTCTCACATTCCTCCTGTTTTCTGACTCCGAGCTTATTTTAGTCTTGTTTCTCTTGAAATCATCACAGACATCTGTCTCTCTTGCCTTCTCCACCCGTCCACGCTACTCTCTCCCACTCCTCCTTCCTCTCCTTCCTCTCCTGCCAGTTGCCTTAGCCGACCTGAAACTGCTTGGCTCCTCTCACTTCCCTCTCAGTAGCCGAAGCCTCTTTGTTGGACACGTCTCAACCTGTTTTCAGCCTCCGACTAATCCTCCATAACACTGAAAAAGACAGATGAGGTCAGACTTGGTAGGGAGGGGAAGAGAGAGAAAATTTCGTCCATAACGGGCTCTCCAAGTGGGAATAACTTAGAAGCATGTGCATGCTCACACGTGGGCATACAAAGTGTACATATGTGTGCTTTCTGCAGGCGAGAAAACCAAACCCTGCCTTCTTCAAGAAGCATACTTACATTCCAATGTCTTAAACTCTTAACGTATTCAGGGGATGGTACAACAGAAATCTCTGTCTTTAGGCGTGGTAGCTGGTGGTACTAAGTAGGGCTCCGGGAAACCATCCCTTTATTTTCCAGAATCCTACAGCAGTTTGTTACCTTGCCAACTGGTATGTTGGAGTGTAAACTGCAAGGGGCTTCGTCGATTGGAAGGGAAGAAGAGACTGTAGGCTGAAGCTAACAAGGTCCCTGGAGTGATTTGTTAGTGTCTCTGGTATTTTACAGAAGGCAGAATAGTGGGTGCTTATTCCTCAGGCTAAGACACATACTTAGGTGTTATGTGTATGTGTATATATATGTATATAAAAATGTGTGTATACACACACACACACACACACACACACACACACACACATGCACACATTCAAACCCCATTCACCCTCAGTATAGCTGTTCCTGCCTCCATTGGTCCGGCTTCAGACTATGCAGGACTTTTCAATTGACCTCGGCTCCTTCCTGCCATCTTAGTTCTTGTTTACTTTTTTTTTTTTTTTTTTTTTTTTGGTTTTTCGAGACAGGGTTTCTCTGTGCAGCTTTGCGCCTTTCCTGGAACTCGCTTTGGAGACCAGGCTGGCCTCGAACTCACAGAGATCCGCCTGGCTCTGCCTCCCGAGTGCTGGGATTAAAGGCGTGCGCCACCACCGCCCGGCTCTTGTTTACTTTTATGCCAATTCAAGCGGAGAAGAAAGTTCTAGCCAGAGCCTCCATGGCTGTCCCTCCACACACCCTCTAATCTCTTTCTCTCTCTCACCTTCTACCAGAACCTGTTCAATTTCACCCACGACAACCTTCGGCTCAGCGGAATTTTCTTCGCCCCCTTGTTTTCCATGACCTTTCTGTGGCTCCCCTCCTGTGGCAGTAAGTCACCTGGTTCTCCTCACCTGTTCCCTCTGAGGGTGGCCTCTTCCTGCGGCAGCCCCTGCTTCCAGGCCCTCTCATCCCTAGGCCTTGGCTTGCTGCTCTTCCTTCTCCCTGGGGCTTCTTTTCTTTTGAAATATGTAACACCTCACCGTTTTGCATGTCATCCTTGGGCAGGAGCCACACTAATCTTCTCTGTATTATTCCAATTTTAGTCTACGTGCTGCCGAAGTGAGCAAGAGGCTTTACTCTCATAGCTCTGAGAGGACTGTATCTAAACTTGACCACATCCCCATGAGGAAGATCTATAGAAAGGTCCAGAAGCCTGCAGGAATGTTTCTCCAACTGTAAATCATTCCATATGGCCGGGGGCAGCTTGTGAAGGAGGGAATGGCAAGAGGGAGCTAGGCCCCCAGGAACCGAAAGCTGAGGAATTCACATTGATTGTGAGATGAGTAGAAATGTCTGCTTCTTTTATTTTACATTTTAAAAATGAATTTCCTTATCTTTTATTTTATGTGTATTTTTGCCTAATATCTACTTCGTTTTAGGGTTTTTTTTGGTTTTTTTTGGTTTTTTTTTTTTTGGTTTTTCGAGACAGGGTTTCTCTGTGTAGCTATGCGCCTTTCCTGGAACTCACTTGGTAGCCCAGGCTGGCCTCGAACTCACAGAGATCCGCCTGGCTCTGCCTCCCAAGTGCTGGGATTAAAGGCATGCGCCACCACCGCCCGGCTCGTTTTGTTTTGTTGGTTAGTTGGTTTTGGATTTTTTTCGAGACAGAGTTTCTCTGTGTAGCCCCGGCTGTCCTGGAACTCACTCTGTAGACCAACCAGGCTGGCCTAGAACTCAGAGATCCACCTGCCTCTGCCTCCCGAGTGCTGGGATTAAAGGTCTGTGCCTCCTAAATATATTTTTAACTTTGCCTCACAAACAATTTATCTTTCAATCACAATTATAAAGCGAGCACACACACACACACACACACACACACACACACACACACACACACACACACACACACAAACAGAAACCAAGAGAAATGTGAGACTTCCTGAGTTGAGTCACATTTTTCAGTTTCGGGTTCCCAGCCTCGGAAGGGTCTCATGGCGCCAGGTGGGGGTGACTTTGAAATCTGCGTTTACTTGAGGTCTCACTAGACTACTCAAGATGTACAGCTTGCTTGCTGGTGACCTCGTTTATTCTGTCTGGCCTGAGAAGCAGCTCTCTCCCCTTTTCTCATGGAGGCCTGCAGGAGCCCCAAGAGCATCAGCAAGCTCCACGTTGGGAGGCCAGATGCCTGATGCTGAGGTGACCAGGAGGTTGTGAAGCAGCGGACAGCTGGGCCAGCCCGCACCACAGTCACCCACATGCACATCTTTACAGCTGTTCTCACAGTGCCTCTAAGAAAGCATCCTTTAAAAGTCTGGAGCTAGAGCTAGGGGACACCTACAGAAATCACAGGACAGTAACCTCCCCCACCCCCAGACACTGTCCCAAGTTACTCAACTTCAGCTTCTTTGCTTTCAGTGATTTCTCCCATGGCCGTAAAAATAAAAGTCACTCTCGTCTCTAAAGTAGGTCACGTTGTGGGGGAAGGGAGCTGCTGAATGCAGATGTCAAGGAATTTTCACCCTTTTCCAAACCAAAAATAAAACTTGGAAACTGTCTGAAGAAAAGAGGTACAGCTTAAGAAAAGCCAGGGAGAAGAAGGTGGGCGGGGTGTGCTTGCCCTAAATTCCCTTGGCCCACAGCAGACCTCTTGCAGAGAACTTGACTCAGTGGCAATTCCTCACCATGACTGCCCACTCCCCCGCAACCCTGGATTCACAAGCTTCTTCCTGCTGGTAGACTCTTGGTGCATGATGCAAATAAGGGCCCTCTCTTCCACTTCTAGCCATTCTCCCCGTTAAAAAAAAAAAAGCCTCTATTGATCAATCAAAGGCTAGAGGGGGAGACCAGGCAAAGAGGCCTTTTGGATTTCTCCATCCAAGTGGTCCTGAGGTTCATTATCTGTTCTATAAAGCAGCACATGCAGTCTCAGCACAGGCTGGGGGAGAAGCTGGGGAGCCCACGTGTGGCCTCCTCTGGCTTCCCCTCTCCTTTCCTGCATCTGGCCACCAGCCAAGCCGGCTTTCAGCTGCTGCTCCTGTTTCCAGTGAGTAGACTCCCTTACCCACCCCTGCTATTATGCAGGGACTGGGGATCTGGTGGGGCACAGAGAAAGGATGACAACTTCCAGCCAGCACAGCTGTGGCTTGATCTCCAGCGGCCAGAGTGTTGGGAGACTCTCTGCAAGTTCCGTGCTCGGGAAATATTAATCTTCACTCTCTTTTAGCGGGCTGTCGTTTTTTTCCTAACCATAGCTCTCTTCCCTGAGCAGTCAGAGCCTTCCTCAGAGAGTGTGAGTACCCTCACAGGAGAGTGAGCTGGAAGACCAGAGAGCCAAACAGGGCCACCTGCAGCAGGGATGCACGTATCTGGGCTGTGAAGGTCAGGATGATATTGGCAGTTGGAAGCAACTTGGAGAAGCCCTACCGGATGCTTATCCAGGATGCAAAAGGGAAACCAAAATGAAAAGCAGCCTGGGGCATCTTCTACCTTGGTGTTTGGAGTCCATGGAACCCAGGTTTGCTGAGGTGAAGAGAAAGGTTTAATTTGGTCTCGCTTTTGCTTTCCGTGTGTTACCTCAGAGCAAACAAGCTCCCAGCTGATGCCCTGCTAGACAGGGTCGGGATGAATGGAATAAGTTGGAACAGGACTTTCAACATATCCCTGAGCACTCAAAAAAAAAAAAAAAAAAATCCAAAAAACTGAAAGGAGCTTTGCCTTAGGGACTGGGAAAGTTGGCAGAGGTCCAACTGATAAAAAGCAAGCAGAGAGCTGGAACCAGCATTAACCTCGTTTAAAGGAGTCAGGAACAGCTAATTCTCACCTTCCTCCTGTAAGTTAGGGATGTGGCTTATGACCCCGGCCTGGTGACCAGGTCTCAAAATATATCATAGGAAATGCTTTAGCAAGTCTAGGCTTACCCACAAGCATCACAGGCTTACCCTGCACCTGAGTCACCTGTCGGAGATGCTCCGTGGTGCCAGTGCTGTTCTTCCCACAGCTTCCACAGACATCAGCCAGTCCTCGTCCCTAAGTGGGCAGCATCCAGTGGTGGAGATTGCTGTGGGTCTACAGACCAGAGAGAGGCCATTTTAGGAATGTGGTCCTCAGAGGCTTCCCCTTCTCTGCTGTAGGATTCCAAAGGCCTGAGACAAACCCCAGGATGCAGTCCAGCAAAGATGATTTGGGCTATATCCCTCTGGGACAGAGAAATTGCTAGAGAGGCTTTTTATTTTTAAAATCTGCGTTCCCACTGGGGGGAGGGGGTGCTTGGACACATGGGGGAAAACTGAATCAGGAAGCAGACATTCAACCAGATGTATGTATTTTACACTCTTTGCTTCCATAGTCTTTCTCTGTTGTACCCTTATTATTATTACTGGCTGGGATATGGTGGCGCACACCTTTAATCCCAGCACTTGGGTGGCAGAGGCAGGCGGATCTCTGTGAGTTCGAAACCAGCCTGGTCTACAGAGTGAGTTGCAGAACAGCCAGAGCTACACAGAGAAATCTTGTAGGGGGTGGGAGGGAGAAGAAAAAGAACTATTCCTGAAAAAGTCCAAGGGCGTAAGTAAGTTAAAAGTGAAATGACTCCTAACATCAACTCTGCATCTACTGTCTTTCCTCCCAAAGCTTTCCACTGGGTAGAACTTTTAATTTGAACAATGGTTCAAAGGCTGAGAGACAAACTGCTCATTACTGGCCAGAGTGCCAGGAATCCTGGGAAGCCAGCCTCACTCCCCACTGGAGTACTACACCTCACAGTAAAGGCTCCTTTCATAGTCACGGAAGGTTGGATCAGCATTTCTTTTCATCTCATCTTCTTTTAGGAACTGCTGGGATAAAAGGGAGTCTAGGAGAATGAAAATTTCACAAACAGGACAAGAATAAAATATTTAGGGCAAAAGACCAGAAGTCTCTTGGATATTCAGTGAACTGAACTAACTCTACTAAAAAAAAAAAAAAATAACTATAAAGAAATACATTTCTGTCAAACTCTATGCCACAGTATGAGGCTTTAGACCATAGCACACTGGCTCTAAGTTACGTCTTCACATCAAGTAAGTTGAAGAGACTCGGGTTAACCCAGGGATAAAATGGGGTCGGTTCTGTCATTAACGACATTCCCAACACTAACATGTTTTATTCTGAGTATTCTGCCGAAGAAGTGAAAAGGTACATTCCTGACAACTCCCCTTTCTGAACCTAATCTACCACCAGTGAAGGAAGGGGAATGCTATTAGTAGCCACAGAGAAAGAACCAAGGCGTTTGGGAGCAGCAGCTCAAGCTTCCCATCATTAGTGGTTCCCCCAAACAGAAAGGATGGTTTCTGAAAGTGACATGGCTGGATGGTGCTTAACTAAATTCTGTCACCTTTACTTACTCTCTGTTCATGTGATCTTCTTGGAGTACTTATCAAAAAACTTTATTATTATTATTATTATTATTATTATTATTATTATTATTATTATTAATGAGACCCTGTTCTATGTATCTCTGGCTGTCCTGGAACTTGCTATGTAGACCAGGCTGGCCTCAGACTCACAGAGATCCGCCTGCCTCTGCCTCCTGAATGCTGGGATTAAAGTTGCGTGCCACCAAGCCTGCCCAAAAATCCCTTTTGCATAGCTGTTAAAGGTTTTCAACTTGGGGGTTCAGCTCTGTGGTAAAATGACCATCTAACATGTTTGGGGTCCTAGGTTCAATTTCTAATGCTAGAATGGTTAATTTAATGAAGAGACTGAGGACCCTCTCAAAGTGGTCCCCTTCCAAAAAGGTTAGATAACTCAAGAACGGTTTCTAGTCACACTCTATCTTCTCCTGTTCTGATAACCCTACCTGAGCATCAAGACATCCAGGCCTAGCAACAAGCATGGCTTAAGGAACACTGTATGCCCAGCAATTAGAGCTAAACATAGCTCTATGGTCTATTTTTTTTTTTTTTATTCCTTTACTCATCACTGAAAGCATTTGTATGTCAACAAGAACTTTGTTCTTTGTGAATTTTTACTCCTGTTTACTCCTTCCCGAAAATAGAGCTGACAAAATCCAAGAAAGTCACAGGGTTGGTGTGAGGCAGACACAGCAACAGACTGCTAGTAGAACAAAGCTTCATGCCTGCCAAGGGTC